GGGGGGGGGAAAGGGGGACAGGAGAGTTACATGGTGTACTTAAAAATTACAGAGCCAACTCGGTGTTTTGTCACCGTGTATTCACTGTCGGCTGTTTGGCAGCTGTAGAGGCGGTAATCGGGCAATTTGGCAAAGTCTGCTAATGACGTAAGCAGCTGAACTGGGGGTTGAAAAAAAAAAGGGGGCGTGGGGATCGGTCGTAGGGGGCGCTCCAGTCATTGGCAAAGGGATACTAAGTAACTTTGGGTGGACGATGATTGGAGACAGTGAGAGGATGGGAGAGTAACAATAGTACACAGTGAGAGGAGACCATAGGCACAAGATTCCTGAAGACTCCAAACTTTATCTGACACAAAGGAAGCCAAGCAAAAAAGCAAAAGAAAAAAAAAACAGTCCGAGAGTAATGGTTATAAGATTAATACAGAAAGTAGGCCATACATTAGCACGACACATACATATGGTTCTGGCTGCATTCCCCAAAAGGTGTTCTTGAACTCAGGTGGTTTTGAGGCCTTTTCGAGGAACTAAGCAAAATTGGCTCGGCGGTGAGTGAGACAAACGTAAAGTTTGGAAGTCCCGCCTCGTAAATGACACGAGATCGAAAACGTAATAATTTATATGATACGAAACCTGGAATAATGGATGGAGGTCAAAAGACTAGGATATATCTGGTGTGTGCAACCCCCTCCCACCCCCCCACCCCCCGGAAGTTTATAGATATTAAAAAAGATGAAGAAATAAAATCGTATGCCCTAAATACCGGGCCACAAACGTAACTATAAAGTTTATGTGAATCTTTTACGGGAATAGTTTAAGGATTGTTGTTAATAAATGCAGTATAAGACGGATGGATCGAACACAGAAGACTCGAAATCACGCATCCGTCGAACTGTGCCTGAAGTCCCGTTTTTCGTTTTTTTTCTTCTTTATCTTTGTGAGATATCCCTCGAACTACGGATCCTTTGAACTACCGAGGCCGGTCTGCACGAATTCGAATTGTCCGTGTTATACTACATTTCTCTTTCTGGAATTGCACTTAAGTATAAGAGCAAGCATAAGTGTGGAGACCAACAACCAGAAAACGTCACCGACATACTAAAGGACAAAACAACATCTAAAAAAATAAAAATTCCCTCAAAACTACAAATTATAACAACGACTTTATCGCCTCACAAAGAGCGAGAAAACAATTTACCATGAATGATTTTTTCGGAGAATCGTTCTGCAAAACTTTGTAGACTAACAAAAAATAACTGGGTGAAATCATCGCAATTTTCGCAGTTCGAACTATCTTGGCATTATCACGTCCAAAAACAAAGCGGCCACATCAAACGGTACAAACAAAAAACCGTAGTTCTCATCACAGGTTCTAAGATTTATTTTGGGGGGAAAATGTTATAAGTGAATACAGAACTGCATAATATACTTATCACTTTTTTTTCGAACCCTGGTTATTTCGGAAGGCCAGAAATTTTCTCTTAACCCTTTCAGGGCAGGGGTGTCCATGTTCTTCTGCACAGACGAGATAAAATATTAGTTCAAGAGAAAGTTCAACAAAGCGTTAATATATCTCCCCTTGTTCAGCTAAACAACTGCACAAGAAGCAATCATAATTTGATCTTCGAAAACATGCACTATAAACCAGCAGACTAAATGGCAGGGAACCAGGGTAGAAGATCACAAGCCAGGCTAAGCTGACAAGGACTCTTGCTTGTATATTAAAGAGAGAAAGTGTGTGTGTGTGTGTGTGTGTGTGTGTGTGTGTGTGTGTGTGTGTGT